CTTATTCATTTTCCTTGTCTTTCTACTCACTCAATTATATATTAATTTGTAGTAATATAATGCAACGCCACTTGGTGCTGTAAGCAATACAAACGAACGAAACTTTTCTACATGTTTTTTATCGCATAGAATCCATACTTTACTTATGATGGTGAAATACCGTAAATATTCAAGTGTGTCTTAAAAGTGTAAATGCAGTAAAGGCATAACTTCAATAAGATTGTCTTTGTCGCACAGACACTCTTGAAAAGGTACTTAAAAATGAAAAAGAAAAGCAAGCATGGATTCGTATATTTTAGTTAAGAGTGGTTGCTCATTTTATAGGTGGGCAAAAATGTAGACGAGTTCGCCGTGTCCGATATGAACCTACGCAAAAGCCTGTAAAAACGTTGCAGCATGTCTTAAACTATAGAAGGACTTCATTAAAGTTGAAGACTCTCACTTACCCAAACTTCCATAGAAGTGCAGAGTTCGTTTATTTTTTGAATCCTTTTGAAAGGATGGGCACATGTTTGAACAATATTTTGCTGCATTTCATATATATATATATATATATGTGTTTGACTGTTTTTCTTTATGAGTTGCTCTGATTTATTGTACTGTTCCATTGATGTCATTGTTAGATGTAGTAGTTGTTGTGTTGCTGCCACTTTTCGTTTAAAAGAATGCTACTTTGATTTTGTTTTTTTCTTTTTTTTTTAATTTTTTACTACCCATTGCATAAAGGACAGAAATTCGCTTCCGAAACCGCCCACTTTTGTAATGTTTGCCAAAATCAATATAGGAAAATGGTAGTTTTTTAAACCATTCAAGTATTTAAAGTATTTTATCTTGTTGTTTTTGTTGTTTTCCTGCTCTTTGACAGACGTCGTTATATAGTCTCCACCGTCATTTTGGCTCTTATTTATTACTGCCGTCACTCGTATTCTTCTAAAGCTGCATGGTGTGTATGTAATTGATATTTAAGAGATTTCTTTTTCACTTCGTGCTTAGACTTAATTTGGCATATTTATGATGTTCTCAGGGATTTCTTTGTAAAAAACAGGAAGGTTATAGTCAAATGGAACGAGTGAAAAATTTATACTCTAGTAATGATGATCTAGTGGTTAACTGAAAGTTTTGTTTTCAAGATTATAATTAAAAAAGCCAATTAGCGGAGAACTTAAAAAAGCCGAAATAGTTGGAGGCTCCGTTTACAAGAAGCGTGAATAATAGTAAGGAGATATTTTTATATTTTCCAAGTATTGGAGTACAAGTATTGGAGAGAAGGGGGAATATTGCCAAAACTAATATGTACAATTTTTAAATCAAAAAGCTTAATTGCAAATTTCTCCTTCTTGTATGTCTCTTGTTTCGTGAATGATTTTGTTTAGCAGTTTTTTTAATACGTTTTAATGACATGATTCAAAAGCAAGGCTAATTTGAGTGACAGAAATTTGTGACCGCGACCGTAGTATTATTAGGAATAGTTGTAAAAAACTGAAGCAAAAAAGGAAACAAAACATTTTAAGGAAACTAACAATAAATTACGTACGCATTGTTCATACACACGGAGGAGGGATAAACACACGTGAGACGCGTGCGATGCATTTTACACTAAGGGCTACATTATATACTTCTCGTCATAGTAAGTGAACAAAGGTGAAAATGATTTAAATCCTTGAGAAACGCATCGTTTTCTTTCAACAACATAAACCAGAAACAAGAGCACAATAGAAGCGTATGTACGAATACTATCGCAAGGCAGCCACACCATAATTGCAAACAATAGAAGCAGAGAAATAGACAAAGTAACGAAAAATTTCCACAGGAGAACCGCACAGTCAGCCACAGCAAAGCAAACTTAAGACACTGCGCTGGTATGCTCCAAAAAAATATTAAAACATTTAAGGAAAACAAGACAAAACCGTTGCCAAAAAAAAGAAATGGTTTTATTTAGAAGTTGTTTTGCTTTTATCAACAGAACACTTTTTGCTCGAGAGACCAAATCCCATAAATTCAATTTTCTTACCATGTGCACACAACTTGTCGTAGATGAGGTAATTTGAGGCACTGTCTCTTGCGTTCTGTTCAAATGTAATGCCTGTCTGCTGGGCAAATACTCTTGTGTAATGCTTGATTACCGGCTACGCCGTTCTTTTAAGTCTATGTATGTATATATATATACATATATGTATATATATACTAGTTGAGTTGCTAATGCCAGTCATTTACTCGTTTCGGTTTCCCATTACACAGGGACTGCATGCTGTTTGCCATTGTACCACAACTTGAGATGCGGTGATGAAAAACTGGGTTAAAGCTACAATTGCTACAACGAGAGGAAAAGTATGTAATGTAGAAGATTAACAAAATATTTTCGCAAAAAAAAAAAAATAAATAAATAAAAAAGAAGAAATTAGTACATGCCAGTGAATATCACTAGTAGGCCGCCATTTAAATGCAATGACAAGGTCCATTTTAAACGTTCATACTTACAGGTACAGCGTAGCATTGTAAAGTGTGTCAATGTCGCTTCCGTTTTCATTTGTGCAAAAGATTTGCCATCTGCTAGTTTAAGGTATTGTGTGCGGTACAATTTTATGATAAACCTAAACAACAACTCAATAGCAAGTGTAAGCACATATTCATAACTTACTTATGCATGTTTCCAGGTTTTGTATCAATGTTTGTGCGCGTGTATGCACTTTAAACCCTATCTGCCTACATAAACATTCATTGGGTTAGACACGAGTTGTTGCTAAAGGCTTACATTTTGCATACACGCCGGCCTTACCAGAATATAAATGCACTGTATCTGCATACGTATATATGTGTTATCGTTGAGAATTGTTGTCACAGTACACAGTACACAGTACACTCACGCGGAACGAAACAATGGTAAAAACGGTCATCCGCAACAAGACCTTTTGCTCCCGCCCGCTTCTTCAAAATATTAAACGTTACCCAGTAGTTTTTCATTTATCATGTGACTGCCGCTGGTGCTCGCTGCACTACATAGAGCAGCACTATGCTGCACGCTGGCTGTACACGACATGTGCTTATGTTTCATTAAGGAATGCTTGGAAATTGAAACATCACAAAATATTCACTTACACATACAAAACTATGTTCAATTATGCTGTAGCTATGCATGCATGCAAGTATTAGTTGCATAGTTTGCCTACATATGTGGGTGAGTTTCGTATCTATTATCGATAATTAAATATCTTTGTTAGTAGTAGTTTTAAACTTTGGATTCTTTGTTGGCTCAGCGGGTCCTTTCATGGCTGCATAACATCATACCTTTTTATGTGCTCTGTACTTTTATAAGTTGTTTGTTCGTCTAGGGTTATAATTGTGTTATGTGCATTTTATAGGATTTTCTACATATATATCGAACTGAATATAAATTTTTTTTTTTTGAACAAGGTCGGTGCTATTTTAAATTAAAAGACGCAAAAAAACTTATGTTATTTTTTTATTAAAATTTTATTTACGCATTTTATTGCCAATGATTTCTTGTCACTTCTACTTCTGGTGAGAGACTTTCATTCGAAAAATGAAAAAATAAATTATTAAATCATTTTTCATTAATTTAATCTTTTCAACAAGAGGAAAAACATATTTTGAACAAATGTAGTGAAGTTTAAAAGCGAAATGAGTTGATTTGTAATAATTTGAAAAATTCGAAGTAGATTTTAACAAATTTGAAAAAATTTTCCCCTTAAGCGAAAGACCTGCTTAAAAAACATGCCCGGTGCACCATTAAGGGCAGATAAGCGTAACTTTCATTGCATGGGTTTGTACGCACATATAACAAACATAAGCTTTCTGCTTGTATGATGCGTAGCGTTTAAGCTTTACTTGAATTTTAGGGTTTGCACAGCCTCGTTGTAATCATTCACATATTCTTCCGCTTATCGCTGCGAATAGCAAGACCGATCCTCTAAAAAAAACTGTTCCTCTTCGTAGAAACAGGAGGAATATATTTGAAGTACAGAAAAAGAGAATTGAGCAAAGCAAGAGGGAAATCGTTTTGTTTTTTGCATAATTAAAAACGAATCTTACTCCTTTCAGCACAGTTGAAGTTATCTGTCTTTAATCGATTCACTTACAGCTGGTAGTTTCCTTTTGCCCGTAACCCGTGCGGCAGTGCTAACTAAGGACTTCTACACCAAAATATCTTTACAATAAATTAGTTATCTTTGTATGTTATTCAAATATTTTGTTTATTGAATGTGTATATGTGCGTATATGTGTGTTTGTGATGTGATGGCGACCGTTCAATTGTGTGCGTCTTTTGTGGACAATGGGAATTTTAAAACCTCGAAAGCCTGTTAAATACCGCAAAACCAAAAATGCACGTGGTTACTTGGCCGAAAACTACTACCATAGTGCAAACACTTGAAACGAGTCATGTGTGCGGTAGGCAGAAAATATAAAAAAATGCATAAACAAAAAAACAAACTACGGCGATGACAATGATAAAAGGAGGAAAAAAGTAGCAGAGAGATAACAACTACGTTGATATGAACATACATATACAGACTTAAGTATAGAAGAAAGTATACAAACAGACAATAATAAGAACACAAACAAAACAGCATGCAATACAATACATGCTACAATACTTGAAATAGATGCGCGTAGTAAACGCGATTTTTATCAACTTCTTGCGTATGTACACGTGCACATATACAAACAAAAGCAATCAAAGATAACAGCAACAGCAAGACAATTACGATATGCTATAGGCATGTAATGTACGAATATGTGTGTGCATGCGAGCACAAACATTGATGCTTTCAAGCTGTGCTTTCTACAATATACATTTAACATGCATCAAATGGAGCAGAGTATTGGTTGAGATTATTGTTGTTTTCATTTTTGTGTTTTACTGTTATGCGCAGCAGCATAACAGAATGTTATGCTATGCACTAGTACCAAATGTCGTATTACGTATTACATCGTTGCGAAGTATAAAACTATAAAAGGCCGCAACGTTTCAGATGGAACATCACTAACATTTCGGACGCGCCAAACTTCTGGTGTCTTCTCCGGCACATTCACAATTAGATACCGGAGTTCTTTTGCCAATAAAAGGTGTGTTATTGCATGGTTTGTGTTTCTGATATTCTTACAAGAAAAGAGAGAAACGTAAGTTTTGTTTTAATGTTCGCTATCAATAAAACTTGGTGAGTGTTGAATGAATTTTAAAAAATTGAAAAAGAAATAAAAAATTGGAAAACCAAATATACATTAAAAAAGAACAGTGACCGAAATATATATTCAAGTAAAAATAATAAAAAAAAAAAAATTATAAATATCCAGGAGCAGATTTACATCTCCCGGCCCCAATACAAGTGCCTAACCGTTTAGTTATTCAGATGACGTTGGAAAGAAGTCTTGCCGCATTATAAGCAACATCTACCGGAAAAGAATAAATTTCTTGTTATTATTTAAAATTACAATTTGTGAGAACGAAAAACTCTTACAAGTACCTATTTTTCACTTGCTCCCCTAAAGGTTATAACAACTAACAGCAACTGTCGATATAAATTTACTTTGGCTATTACTCTTTGCGATACAATTTTGTTGTAATTTGTTACGGGTGTTTATATATTCGTGTTTGCATAGAGTAGAGCACGGTTTGCACTTTTACACGCCTCTTCAGGCCGTGGAGGTACGTCGGTTTTTTCCATTCCTTTTACAAAAACAATTCATTTGAATTAGAAGTACGTTTCGATTCCGGTTCAATTTGCGTTTGTCCGTCTGTCCGTGTGTATATCAGCTAGCTGGACTTGTCAAATTCACCAAAAATTGGCGCAGGGAACTAATCAATATACGTAATGATCGCAACGAATGTTTGTACACCATCACACGATGAGCTAGACATAAACATAAACTTAAATAGTATCAATCTGTTTAGAGAAAGGCCCACTGCAAAACTTACATGAAAGGGAACGGTTTTTGTACTGGCGAACTATAAGGGAAACATTCCCACCGTCAATATGTTTAAGAATATTATCAGACAGTAAATTAACTTGGGAAAGCTTGCCGGCAGAAGGCATGACGGAATTATTAAATATCGCCTGAAATATAGGATGTCTAAAATTCGTTCTCAGGTGCATAGAAATTTTTTATTTCCTTTTTATTCGAAACAAGTTCGTATAAATAAATAAGTACTTGTATGTTTACTTAAGCTACTTCAACCCGAGAAATATGAGAATATGTAGCTGTGTCTTTCCTAAAAACGTATTTATATGTGCTTGTGCGTGTGCGTGTGCGTGTGTTTATTTATATAGGTAAAAGTAAAGTTTAAATTAAACTGATGTGGGTGCAAAAGTACACACAACTGTTTTATTTCTTTTTTTTCATCAAGCATTACTAACATTTGTCTTTTCGTGTGGGGACCCCGAGGATACAGCATATATATTTTGACAAATGTGTACATGCACAGAGATAAATATGTACAGATGCTTAAAAAAGCGAATTCATTCGCGTTTTCAATATGAACTTCCAAAATAATATTAAAACTGATTAATTGCAATAGTTAAGCACTTTGTGTGTCTGTCATTATTATCAATTCCAAAGCAATCACGCTCTCCTACCAGCATAACCGGGGAATCAATTTGAATAAATTGCTTGTAATATATTTATTTATAAATAAATAAATAAAATCAATTTGGGGAATGAATAACGAAATTCAAATAATTACATAACGTTGAATTATCGATCCGTATAGTTTTTGTTGGAGGAGCTTGGGGGATAGACTAGATTTATCGTTTTCTTTCTACCTTACGCGAAGCCAAGCATCAAAGACAGCGCAAAAATTCCCATCATCATATGGCTTGATAATTATATTTCTTCCGGTGCAGACTCAAACGCTGACAGAGGTGCGGTTGCAACTACGTTCAGCACTGCAATGATTTAGTAACAAATCGAAACACGATAAATGGAAAAACGGACGGAACGGACGACTACATGAGCAAAAGGATCGGAGTAGGAAAGTTTTATTTACATCGAAAAGAATCTCCCTCTTGGTTCCGAAACGTGACCGATGGAGAAATGCTTAGTCGAAAGTATTAGAGATGAGAGAATGATAGAATTTTTGGTAAGGTTTCAAAGCCGACAAGAAAGTTCCTTGAGAGATCAGCAGAACCAATTTCTTTTAATCATTTTATCGTATTATTAGATATAATTTTTTTAAGCCGCGAAAACTTTTGCAGCAAAGAGGGTAAGATATCTAGAAGATAAAATGTTTACTATTGTTCCGAAGGATGCAATCTACAGAGAAATTTTAGCTCTCTCAGTTCTATTGACTTTGTAGTTGATAACACCATGAAAATCATGCAGATCAACGCGAAATTGAACAAGACGCGTATTGGGATATCTTCGCAGTCGTCTGAACTCTTTGACCTCTCCGCCTTTGCTTGGAAGAACCGAATTAAAATTCATTTAAGAATGTATTCGATTTGTGTCAATATTTGTTAAATTCTTTGGCATCTGTAGCAAAATAGTCTGCGAAATGATTATTGGCTAAAAAGTTAGCTAACTGTTCATTCCTTTGACGGAAATTGTCCACATGACGTCGCTACATTGTCAATACAAACAACATTGGCTTATTCCCAAAAAATAGATACAGATGTTTTTTGCAAATAATACGTCTCATGTGAAAGTAAAAGGTTAAATAAAGAAGGAAACGTTCCACGCCAACGTACAGAGCACGTCATTGCATAACTCTCGTACTACACGGGTGATATTTTCTTAGTGTAGCAGATGGATGCAAGCAAAGTAGTTTAGTTTCATGTTCATCATAGATTATCATCATTAACAAGCCCATTTTATATTGTGTTATGCTATGGAATCGTCAATAAATATTTTTCATAAATAGAGTAATAATTAACCCACATACATACATATGCTCTTGTGGATGTAAAGATATGATACGAGTTATATGGATAATATATACAAATGTGATTTACGATGAGCGCACAGCGTGTTTGCAGTTAATTAAAACAATGGCATATTTGTATAATTTCTTTTAATGAATTATATAATAATAAATTGCTTTTTAATTAAATTAAAAAAATAATTTTTATCATTATAAAAATATATCACTAATTAAATTTCAGAGTAATGAAAGAAAAATGCAAGTGTATTAAGTATGAATTTTTTGATCATCGTTCGGTAAACATACGGCCAGGATGACAATCAACAAGAATCCTCTAAATTGATCAGTTACCTCGAACAAATATTGCTATATTAACTGAAACCGGGGTTGTTGTCAGATGAAATACCAGAAAGGGGGCTACTCGCGTTGACAGTCTCAGTCTTGTTGATATTTCTACAAACAGGTTACTCTTCCTATAGTCTATTTCGCGGTGTAAATGTGAAAATTATAATCAAATTTAATTATAATTCCGAATATATTTACGTAATCTAGTTAAAGATGAATGTAGGCCAAATGTTGAGAAATGCCGAATTTCGTAGTATTTAATAATGCCTAGCTTTCGGACGAGAAATATTAAATGTGCTTATGGTTGCCTTTGTGTAGGAAACTTTGAATATGACGCGAAATCAATTTAAACAAATTCGAAATCGATGAAAATCCAATTAATTCGTTCGATTCGTTATGATTCGTTCGATGAGATCTCTGCTGTAGCGAGCAATTTTACGAGGACCTCACTTCACTTCATTTAACTCAGCAATTAAATGGTTCAACATTAGCTATTTTAATATGCAAATTGAAAGGAACTGAGGTACGGACACTCGTTCAAAGTACGTATACGTGTTATACGTGTTATACTATAACTTAAATGGTTTTAAATAAAGCTGATGCAACAGCTGGCTCGCTAGATTGGCGATTTATTGATGGGAGGATGATTGAGTTTGACTAATTGAAATTTTTAGTGCTTTACTGCGTCATTCACAATGTATTTGTTACCGACCTTCATTAAATTCCGCTTGTTTACCCACCATATTTAAAATTTGTGCTATGAAATATTTTTATATATATTTTATTGTCTACGGGAAATTCTCTCCGCTGCACTCTGCTAATTTAAGAGTCTAGTAAATTTTAGAGAAAGAGAAAAAGCATAGAGTATAATTTATGACCTCATTTTCTAAAAGAATAAAATTTTATAACAAAACAAAAAGAAAAAAGATTCTCTAAAACCCTATTATATTAACCTTGCAGTGATGTCAGCCAGACTTGCAAATAATTTAAGTTTTAAGGAATTAAACTTTTAATCTTAGTTGAACAACGCTCATGCAAGCAGTGCCGTAATATGTTTAGACAGTCAAACTAGAATCAAACATCACTGCAAAAGTATTCCTTTGAGGTTTGTTTTAAATGCCGTTTTTGCCACATTTTGCCACAGTCGCACATAATCAGTTGTTGATTGCAAAAAGGATTTTTCATAAATTTATATTTTTCTCCTCAAGTGTGAGTGTGCTCACACAGACGTATGCAATTGCTTTTAATTTATGCATACTATATATGTATAAGTTTGATCTTAGGTAAAGACACAGAAAGCCTTACATTCATCTTCAAAAGTTTGCATTCATTTCATTAAAATACGGCCTGAAATCAAATATAAAAATAATAAAGTAAAAATTGTTTAATTTATTTGCAAGCACTGCTACGCAGCGCTGCTTATCTCTTAACCTTCCGATGTAAAAACGCCGTTGTTGATCTATGCTTACGAATAACTAAAAAAATTGCAGAGCACGAGTTCGATTCGATTTTTTTAAAGAAGTTATAATTTAATGGCAAGATTTCATGCAAATTTTTACCTTTACACTGCATTACCGATATCAAGTCCATCACATTTGCATTTGTTTTTCGTAAAATTTTCATCTAAAATTTACAATTTTTATTGCATGCTCCTATACGTTAGTACACGTTCCACAAGTAAAACAATGTTTCCATGAAATAATTGAATTATTTGAAAAATACTCTCACGTGCTGGATTATAAATATCAATCAATCAATATACATTTTAATAGATTTAATAAACTAATACAAGCGAACGAAAGCGATTCAAATTTCAGGCATTCCTTACAGGTAGTTAAATGTCTTTATTCAAATATATCAACAACATTTAAGCAAAAGTTGTTCCATTTGTTTTATATTCACTATTAGTAGGATGTTTTGCGCTTAATTAAGTCATTTAGCAACAACAAATTAGCCTTAATCCGATATGGATATGTTAGGTTCGAGCTCAATTGTGTTCCAAAGGCTTGAAATGAGTTAACTTTCGTAAAGAATTTTTAATAAAGTTGGCTGCTACGGCTTCTGAATAAATTTGATTTAAGAGAAGAGCTTGTGGCCGTTCTTCAATAATCGCACGATTAGCATTTTATGGCTTAATTGTGCTTTTCAATATTTCGAAGAAAAACATCGACCAAAGCAATCACAAATATATTATTTTCGGATCCATACATTTGCACTGATACCGATATAAGTACCGAGCATTGCTTTTCTTCCATAATGTGCTATCAATAGCATTGTGAGACTGAATGTGCCTTCAAATATTTAAAACTAATGGAAGAGAACTCTTTATTAATCACTGCACATTGAGTAAAGCAAATTTAACGAAAAAAAGAGAATTTGAGAAGTAAACTTTTCAGTCAATGACTCAATGAGCTCGAAAGAGTTTTAGAACTTCTGTCGTCAAACGTTTTTACGTTTTCACATTTGTAAAAAATAATTTTCGAAAATTTGAAAAGTACATAATGACGAAGTAGGAAATACATAAATCTACGCATATATTTCAAAAAAAAAAAAAGAAAGGAAAAAGGTAATAGCTGTCGTTATATTAATGTTGTTGTTGTTGTTTATAGAATTGCTTTTTTCGTTTTTCTGATGCGAAATCCTATTAAAATATTGATGGCTATGCTATGTTCTTTATTTAACAGCCACCAGGACGTATGAATGTTTCCAATTAGTTAAAGTGTTAAGTGAAAAAAAAGCGTAAACCATCGTGTTTTTAATATGCAAGTCGTGTGCATAGGTTTTTGTTTACTGTTTTTTTAGCACTCCATGGGTTAGGTGTGAAATCAATAATGCCTTCTGACCATATACACATAAATGAAATTGAATTTTTACTTCTGCATACAGATGTACATGTACATCGAGGTGCGATGATATTACGCTTCCCGTTACACACTCACTTACTGTTATTTAATTAAATACGTTGCATTATTAATAAAGTGCATTATTTATGAAATACCTGTGAGTTTATAAACAGACGCGTTCACGATTACTTTTAATGCCCACTACAACTATTACGTTGAAATCAGTAATGGTAATAGCAGAGGTATGCATTTAATTTCAAAATTATTCAAAATATCTTTTGAGTGTAATTTTATAAATGAATTTTTAATACAAACAAGTGTAAATGTTTGTATTAATTTCATTCAACAGAAATACATGAAAACACCCATCCACACACGCACCCACATTTGATATCAAATGCATTTACAGCAATTTGTAGTAAATGAGTGGTGTTCCTACATTCAGTATTTTCCTTCATGCACTTGAATAAATAATTGCATATATATATATATATATGTGTGTGTGTGTGTATGCGTTTGTGTGTGCAGCCGCATGGATAGCAATTCGGAAACTTTGTGCAAAACGCTGAAATGTTTTTTAAAACAAAAGTGAACAAACATTAGAGGCGTTATGTGCATACTTAAATATGTTACTTGCGCTCGTGTGTAAACACACACGACATATACGTACATATATATATATATATGTATATATATCCATCATATCTATGCATGTGTACAAATAGAAGGAAATATAAAAAACTTATAGCGTGTAATTAAGCAAATTGCTTAAATACATGTATGACAATATTATCGTTTTTATACCGTTGACGTTTTCGGCTTTTTTACGGTTAGCACAAAAAGCTCATCCCATAGTTTGAAAAAATACAATAAAATAAATTTCATGATATTTCTATTGGTTTTTTAAAATGAATAAATACAAATTTTTTGCGTTATTGCATTTCAATCAAGTCAAAACGCCACAGTTCATTACACTAAGCTATGCGATACGCTACGCGACGGCGAACGTTACGTAAATTTCGCAATTTTATCTTAAATTTTATTTATTTACTCTTACCTACTACTACTGTCGATTATAACCAAATTGTAATACGAAAACAAAAAAAACAAAAAATTGCTCATGCACTGCGTATATGAAGTCACTAGTGTAGAGCACATAACATTCTTCTCTCATAGTTCTCTCATAGATTCATGATAAAGTGGCGCGTATTGTCGTAACATATTGCAGATTGCGCAAGTATTCTTACTAATGTTTTAGACACGATCTATTCTGAACTTTTTGACTGCTGCTAAGAGCTTTAACAGACAAGTTGTTTAGAATCTGGCTTAAGTTTCCAATTGTCATGTCATCATTGTCATCGTTGCTTGTCAAGCATTGCGCAATTAACGGTGCTAGAAAATATGTTATTTGAGTAGCCAGCGGCAGAGTTGCACTAGTATTTGGTTTTACTACTGGAATAATTGAAACTGAAATCAGATGATTGTGAATATCTGCTTGTTCCAGGACTTTGTAAGCTTTCTCGACTTTCATGGGAAATAATTTTTTTTTTTTTTTGACTAATGATACGATAAACTTAATAAATTCATGTAATTTTCTGGTCGTCTCTATATAAGCAAGTAGAAGAATTCGTCGTCCATTAACATTTATGACAGCTGCGACACAATACCAATGTCCAAACAATTAAAACTCTCTAAAATTGTAATCAAGGTCATAAAAAAATATTTATACTTTTTATCATTCGGGTGCAATATCCGTAATGGTATTTTCGTTTCGTTTTTACTTAAGTGATTTGCTTCACGACTTTAATAATCAACTCGTATGAAGTTCATATTAAATATTATCGCAAGCGTTTGTTATTGTTAGCCAAATAAGTTTTGCTGTTTAAAGTTAAAGCGGATCTCTCAATGTGCAGGAATAACAAAAAAAAAAAAAAAAAAGGAAAAGGAAAAAAGGAAAACAAAATGACGGTAATATTATCAACTTCAATATCCTGTACTTGTAATTGAGGGCTTATGATTAGAGGCTGTTGGTTTACACAATGCTAGACTGTAAATGAATGCTAATTTCCTAGATATACACAAGCGTACGAACATAAAGCCTTTTGGCTATGTTTCTGCTAACTAAGAATGCATTTTAGTAGAACTGTTTTTAAATGTTGCTTGCTTTCCCGTTGTAGATATATGCATATAATATATACATATAATAGTGCATAAGTGTACGTATTGGTTTAGGTGCAAGGCTGCACGTAATAAATACTTAGATGTGCGTGCATTCTTTACTTTATTAACAAAAGATTAAAAATGCTATGATGAGGCGAAGAGATGATGCCGATGATTAAGATGAAAAGCAAAATTTGCCAGCAAAGCATAGAAAATCTTCGTATCAGCAGCAAACCGTACGACACAAAGCAAGATAAAATAAACACAATGCGAACGTGCATTTCACACAAACACCTGAAAGCTTAACGAACAATGGCAATTGTATTCATTCCATCAGAAGCCTGAACTTTCATTATTTATTTTATATTTTCTTGTTTTCTTATTAAATCATTTTACTTACCGAAGAATAAAGTGAAACGAACGTGTATTTTCGTTAAACGAAAATACATCAATTTTATGCATTAAACTTTTGTTAACTGTAAACTGAACGTTTAATGTAAACCTATTTGCGTGCATTAATTTTATTGTTATCGTTAGTTTTCCTCTCTTTTTTTTTTCTTCTTTTTTAAGTTTAGAATTTTTCTTCTACATTTCAAATAAATGCTTTTGCATGAGCTCGAGAAAAATGAATGAAAGCTGAAGTTTGCATATAAATTTGATTTTATGAGCAGATTGCAAATGCAAGCAGTCTTCGAAAACAGTTCGTTATTAAATTAAGCGAGAACATATTATATATGTCTTTACGACTAACCTTCAATCTCAACTTTTATTTCTCCAACTTAAAAGCTTCGGAAAATATAAATTTTTGTTGCTTTTTCTAAACAAGCACACAACACATGCATCGTTGCGATAAGGTTGAACGAACATTAAAAGTGATTTTGAATTCGTGCAAACGAGACGCGAACAAAGAACATGAAGAGTCAAATTGGCTTTCGCCGCGTCTTTGGCTTTTATTCAACCTCATCGCACTCATTTTTTTGGTTCAACTTCTTACGCCCATGATATTGGACCATTTTCCTCGTCCGTCTTTCCTATCCTTCAATCCGAATTGAAAAATTTAATTACGTGATGTCCATTGCATCGACGTATTGTTACGTTACCGATTTATTATTATTTCCTTAAGAAAGGACCTAAAAATGGCAAAGCATTCTTTCAAATGCTTTCTTTTTCTTTTGGGAAATTTCTGGGACATGGTCCAGTAGAACTTTTGTGTCGTCAGCTGGTCTCCTGAAAATGCCGTTATTGAGTGAAAGACGTTGATGTATTTTCAGATTTTTGTATTTTTTGGATAAAGTATTCCGAGATAAAAATAAATGTATCTTGTACAGATAGGGACTTCTATAGCTCACAGTTAATGTCAATACGTTTTCTGACTTTTCTTTATTTAACTTTTTTTTGTTACAGAATCTAAACTGCTCTCTCTGCTCGTTTCGACTGCTGCTGCGTTTAATTTTGATTGCTTGCATAATTATTCGAATATTTGGACTTTTGAAAAATGTCGATTTCAGATTTCCGTAAGAAGAAATTATTATTCTTATTCAACGTGTTCTTTGGTGAGTGAGAAACTTAATATTCTTGATAGTTCAAAGTAATTTTAAGCGCTTCGATTTACGGCGTTTGCTTTAACATTGAAGACATTTTCGCGAGAAATTTTAAAAGGCGTGTAAGAGCATAAACCAACAAACGTAAACAATTACTGCATATAATAAAAAGACGGATGTTTACTACCAATTTAGAAAGGAGTGAAAACAATCTTCTGATCTGGGACAGACTTATTAAACTCTTTTTGTTTAAGATTTAGAAGCCTTGAGAATCCAAAGCAGTTAATTACGTCTACATATAAACGTACTGGCTGCGGTATAGAATTCCGACCTTTCTTTTACGCTTATCCAATTTCATCGTCGTATTTCTTTACATTTATTGCTCAATACTTAACGAGAAGTAATACTAAATATTCTAGAAGACTATTCTTTGGCTTGAAAACATAACTACAAAAAGTGAACGTAGTCTGATTCCTAAGAAATCAACCAAAAGAAATGAAATTGAAATAATATTTTTTTGATTATTTATATAACAGATTCTAAGAGAATTATTATGCCTCCGGTCTATGAGTTAATGACACAGATTTTGTATTCAACGCGAGGCATTCCAAATTTACTAAAAGCTAAGGTCCTTTAATTTGTTGACCAAGTCAATTACGGAGCAATAAAAATATACATATTATGTATATAACTAAACGTGCATGTCATGGCATGTCGGCTCATAAATATGAGCAGAAAGGATTTTCTGCAAGTTACGAACATTTTCATCGTCATGGCACAATGACAGCCAAACTTTGTTTTTTTCCATTTTTAGAAAAATATTACATTACACGAATGTGAGGTAAATAGAGAAGGTTTTCTATTTCCATTCTGCTTGCATAAATAAATGAATAATAATTATTTTATGTCAATGAACGTTAAGTAATCGTGAGCGAAAGAACGATCGAGAACAGATAAACAGACTTTAAAATATATGCATATATATATATATATATATATATATATATGAAATAAATAAATAAATAATAATAATGATAACGACAATAATGTTTCTGTTGAAACTCAAACAAAACAACAATTCGGGCGTTCTTCCGCTTTTAAAATGCAGCGAAATTGTCCGCAAATATTTACTCGCAGCTAGAAGAGCAACAACAGCTGTTGACAGTTCATAAAGTCCATAAAAACAAATAAACGATTCATGTGATGGGAATGTGTGCCTATTTACAGCTATTTTATGTATGAACACGAGCAAGCAGCACACAAATAATGGAAAAATAAAAAAAGAAAATATTTTTTGATTTTCTAATTTTTCATTTTTTCCCATCTCTTTCACTCTTCATCTATCGCTTTCCCTTTTGCATCTGAACCCTTGTAATTTTTGTTCCTTTTTTTCTTGCCGTCTATTTTTAAACAACTCTATATGCAACAATTTTGGCATATGGAACGGATACTGTGTTTGGATATGTGGCAAAATACTGCAAAACATAAACAAAAATATTTACATAACATGATATGTTCGGGCACGTGTGGACGGTTTTTTATTTGGTTTTTATTTATTTATTTTTTTTTTTTGCTCTTTTTTTTGGTTATCAAACCAGATGTGAACCAAAGCGGTGAAATTGACGTTAAGGATTTCGAATTGGCCATCGAGGTAAGCTTGTTTATTTTTCGTTTTCTCTCGCTTTCTCCTCCCACCCTTTCTCGGCGAAGGACGACACAAATCATTTTAAATTTAAAGAAGAGGAAAATCTACCCGCCCATCTGCTTATATTATGCATGCTTTTTATCCAACTACGTTTCATTTTAATGGATGTCCTATGCAAATAAAGACACTTGTTTGTCAGTTGCAACAACGACAACTGTTAGCATAAAGTTTTAATGTAAAAAAATGTGTTTTCCTTTTCTGTTTTCATTTTTATGCTTTTCCGTTGCGCTTTCTTTCAAACAGCGTGTCTGTCAACTCCGTGGTTGGGCGAAAGGTACGCCAAAGAACCAAGAAACTCATTCTGTCATGTTGGAAATCTGGGAAGGTTTGCGTTCGCAAGCTGACAAAGATAATGACGGTCAGGTATGTACGTTGGACAATTTCTTATTTACACACTCTTACATTTTAAAATTCAACAAAGAAAAGCAAAAGTAATTCCACTCTGTAAGAAAAACACAAATAAGAAATAAAGACTCAAGTATACAAATCGCTCTTATTTATTAGAACGCGGACGAGAGAAGGAGTTACTTTCGCATTCAATTGCAAGGAAACAAAAAAATAAGTGACAAGAAAATGTTCATCGGTCATCCTACTTATATTATATATAGTATAGTATTTTACATCGGTCCTCAAAAAATTCAAGCATTCGTAAACATTTAAAGTAACTCTTCCGATTCTATCGATAAATTGCATTCCAATTATAATGCACAACGTACATGTACTACTCCTTACATTTCACTGAGCATAAAAATATTTTTTCTTATTCCAAATTTTTTCCTCCATTCGGTCTGTGTACGTGCACTTGTTAACAATCGTATGAAAAACATGTTATCGCCTTCTCTGTATTTTACCTATCCGTCTGCGTAGTGGTAATAGATGTGCATATGAGTGTCAAGTGAAATTTGTTTGTACACACATTCCTTATTTCAATATATCCATACGAATAAACATATGCGTTGAGTGTAAATTATTCGTTGACGTTGGAAGAACGCAGTGGTGATTAAGGAAACAATACGCTTCAGGACAGTTCTTTAATATGCAGTACCGATCTAAGTGCGATTTATTGAATTCTTGCTCAACATTGCACGACAAGCAAGCCACTGGAGATGATTTTCTTATGGACTCACTGCCATGATGCCTCCACAACTATGCAATGAAATGGGGGACCGTTGAAAAGGTTCTACACTAAGGCTCAACAATAGCATGGAGGGTACGAAACGAAATTGTATCACAAGCTCATAATGTTCTCGCTACTTTATCATCAGTAAATCAATTTCTTTTAGTTAGGATTGGGGCTTTTCTGTCAAATAATTGTGAACAACTTTACTTCAACAACAATACTTTTTTGACTTTTCTCTTAGGAGAGCCAATGTAGCCGCGTGAAGTGGCTTACTTGGGCCTAACCTCTCCTTTTCCTATTGCACAACAGCGTGGTTCGTGCTGTTACAACTATACACGTGAATTATGCGAATATGACTTAACGTCCTGAACCTGATGTAGTCCCTTGTGTGACTCGCATAAAAGAATTCATTACAATTTTCTATATCAATGAATTTATTGATTTATTGATATACATGTAGACACTTTGAAACCCAATTTTTTAATGTAATTCTGTAATTACGCACATAATAAGAGCAAATCGTACAAGAACATGGAATTTTAACGTAGCAAACAATACTTAAAATCAATGAGAAAAAAAGAAAGAGAGAAAAAAAGTAAATGATTAATTATATGACTTTAAAAGGGCGCCAAATTGCGTGTAACTTAATATTGAATTCATTGTTGCTCAATTTATAATACTTGCTGTACATTGGATATATATATATATTATCGGCTTAATGTTGAAGTGTTAAGGAAATTTCCATAAAACAGCATTTCGATCCCAAAGGGCTTTCACTTTTTAGAATTTAATTACTGATTACTTTTCGGCAGGTTGTTCTTCTTTCTTTTCGCAGTCGTCGTTGCACGTGTGTGCGCATACCGTACTACTGCTGATGATAATAATGTTATGCCTTCTCCAATAAATGAGTACATGTTGTTGTGGTTTGGTCAGCTTAATAGATACATTGCAGAATAGTACATGATGTGATAGAATTTGTCAACACCTTTTGGCCAGGGGCCAAAATGTATTTAAGAAATATGTCAGGTTTATTGTAAAGTTGTTTTAGCGGCACTTTGAAAGGCACGACTGCAGGCTGGCAATGATTTAAAGACCCGTTACTTGCATAGAGAGATAAATAGGTTTTAAGTTTTCTTTTCACAAAATTTAAATGCCTTCTATTAGTGCCTTTCATTAAGATTGACTTTTCCCTTAGCGCACTTGCAAGTGCACCTTGTAATGCCTGCACCTTTAAGTAGAATTAAATTTACTTTTTCTTCTTTCTGTCTCGGCCTTTATTGTCTAATCAATGCAGTAAGCAAATGTTTTCTTGACAACGTGAACGCGGTCAAATGCAATCTTTTTGCTTTTTTTTTTTTTTTTGCTCAGGACGAGAAAGATTAGGAAGAGTAGTGCCAAAAAGATTTATAAGCCCACAAGAACTATTTTGTTTATTTTATTCTGTTTTTTTATTTATTTACTTTTTTTGTAATTATACTCGAGAGTCCGTGAGCAGAATTATTTACATTTTAGTAGACTATGTTCCTTCCACACCTTAGTGGCCGGCAATTGCTGATGTTAACTGTGAAATGATCATAAAGTATGCCATGGCCCCAGCAATATGCAGCAACTAATGCTCAATTTGTGGTTTGGCAGGGACGAACTAAACGCTCAGAGGCATAGGGAGCAAATGAAAAAAAAAATGAAAACAAAACAAAAAAAAGGCAAAAGGAATTAAATCGAAATTCTTGGCTGCTGCTGTGACCTTGTATTGTTTTGATAATGAAAATATTTGGCAATAAAATAAGAGCATAAATTAAATTAGCACAATGAAAGCAATAGCCTGCATTGGGGCCATAAAATATTTGAAAAATCTCCGACTGCTTTCCATCTTAAATAACGAATTGCTCGTAGAAAGTATCTCTTCAAAACCGTTGACTATTTTAGGTATCTGTGGAGGAATGGTGCAATATGTGGGATGCTTACGCCAAGGATCCGAGCACTGTAATGGACTGGCAAAATAAATACATGAATTTTATGTTCGATTTGGAGGATGCATCCAATGACGGTGGTATTGATGCCTCCGAGTTCGCTCTAGTTTGCTCTAGTTATGGCCTAGAGAAGAAGGAATGCGAGCTGGCGTTTAAGAAAATGGCGCGCAGTCAAGATGAGGTCACCCGTGAGCAATTTGCCAGCTTATGGGAAGAGTATTTCTCCTCCGAAGATCCATGTGCACCGGGAAATTTTATTTTTGGCAAAACCTCATTTTAACGTCCTTAAGAAGCGTGTACAAGAATCGAAGGAGCAAGGTTTTTAAGCAATCTCATTGAAGAATTGAAACTCTCAGAGTTCTGTAGAATTATTGAATAACTCAAATAGGAAAAATAGAAAACAAAATGAAAATCAAAATAATGAAAAACTCAAGAAAATCATATAAGTTGAGAAAAGCAAAAGAAATTCCTAAAAATTATATTTTAAAGTAAGTGTGTTTGTCTTTATATAGTGCATAAGAAATTTGTTTTAAATCAAAGCACGGCAAAAGTGATTGTAATCAATTGGTGGACTTTCATTTCTATATCAACTGTTGTTTGAATATAAGTGAAAGTAGGGATATAAAGTGTACCCAAAGTAGTGTTCGTTTTTGGTAATTTTCTTATATATAAACTCTTTAACATTTATATGTATATCTATGTAATGAAGATCAGGACTTTACTAAAACTTACAAAAAGAGAAAACAACTAAAAGCCAATCAAAGATATTTATTAAATGTTAACTATATAGTTATGTATGCAAAAATATGTCAATTTTGAATTAACAACAATTAAAATCTACCATCGAGGAGCATAACAATGCAACTCGAATTACGTGACAACAAGTTTTAAGTCGCATTTGAAAACTGTTACGCAACATGATACAACATGTTTAAAAATAGCGACTTGACTTGTTACGCGTCTTGGTTAACGAAATAATATAGAAATTCCTGTGTTTTATTTATGACGAGCTAAAATAATCGGATCATCTTGCTTTGAACTTTGGACAACCAATACTTGGACACGGATTATTAGAAATCCTTTAACATACCTCACGACGAACCGCAGGGGCAAACAAAATTGAGTAAAGTGAGTTGAGTAAAATTCTGAGGAATTCTTGAATGCTCTTACTACCACCTTACTATGTCAGACAAGAACGTCTGCCTCATAAATGTATGCGGCAGACAGCGTCGCATCCGTTTGACCACCAGCTAAAATGCACATGTCGCTCATCCACCGCCTTCCCTTGAAAAAGTAACGTGCTCGATACCCCTTCGATTGTCGCGAAAGAAAGTCTTTAAATACTTCTTTGCTATTTTCATTGCCAGATGTCGGCCATTGTAATTAATAGCTTACCGTTATCGCCAGGTCATTACGCAATTTATTCTGATTCAGCCTACTATTGTAGCAAGCATTTGTCAGCATTCAGCCGTTAACGTGGAAAGATGACTCCACAACCCCTCTAAGCTATAGTGTAATTTAATGCAATCTGCTCTGCAACAGTCACATCCGTGGTGGAACTATGCCGAATTAATATTTGAGCAAATATCTAGAATCCAACAATCTATTTATAGGACATCAAAGCTTTGCTGAAGTTAGTGCAGGTTTGCAAATATTAAATCTTTCATTAACAATGTTGTTGTTGTAAACGAAAATGTATATTGTATATACATTTGTCATGATTTGAAAAAGTTAATCATGATTACTTGTAATGCGCTGATCCGCTTGTAATGGCGGGTAAGTAGCGCTTGATCCGAGCCCAAAGAGCACACTTTAAATACTGTCAAGGTTACTTGTTATTAAAGTATTCATCAAGATTGCGTCAAGGTTGCATCAAGGTTAAAACAAAACATGAATTCAAATGATCTTTCGATGCAATAACAAGACGAAACTATTGAAAAACTTATCTGCACTCCCATTAATTTCTTAAAATAATCAATAAACAACTTAACATGTTCTTCCATCATTTTAACCAACACTTTGAAGCACATTGCCGATGTATATGTTCGCTCTTCTTATAGCACACTGTACAGTAAATTTTATGATTCTTTCAACATTTATTATCAAAACCTGGTGACATTTTAATTGCACAAAGTTAAATGCCGCACCCCCACAAGCACTTATATTAACCAAAATGCATAAAGGATCCACGTACTTTTAACTACATGATAAAGCGAAGAACAATAACAAAAGTTCTTCACAAACCAAAACTCTCTATCGCCATCTAAGGACAATCACAAGACATTAATAATACAATGTAAGGCGAAGTAAGTTAAGGTAAAGCAATGCAAACGTAATTAAAAAAGTAGGAGGAAAGAGAAAAATACTGCAATGACCGCTTTGGCCGTCGTCCCCACTTAAGCACATTCTTGGTACACCAAGCGACGGCTGAGTGGATAGAAAAAGTTCACTTTTCGATTTGAGATAAATACCGCTTGTATACGTAAGCAGGCGTAAAACTGTGTGTGTTTTGTTGACTTTGTTGTAGCAAATTAACCGAAAGGTGATACACGTTTGTTCGACTACCTTTGATTGAAAGATTGAAATAAAGACTTTATCAAAGATCAAACGGAATGCAAACAAAAGCAATTCATGTCCGTAGGTGCGGTTTTACTCTTGCGGCTCCCCTGGCTCTCGGCTGCTTTCACATTGGAACAGAAGTGAATTTCGATTTGTTTTACTAATTCCTAACTTCTGCCTGCGAACACGGTTATATTTCTTGTGCAGTCCTTGAGAAAGAAAAAATTTGTTTTGTTGTTTACGTGGTTCTTCTTTACCATCTACTCTGGCATTGACGGTGTCGATCATAAAGAATTTAATAATAGATAAACAATAACGAAAAATTTCTACAATTTCATTTGATTTGTTTTAATAATTCATACAGAAATTATTCCAACTTCGTTCAGAATGGTTAGAAAAATAACTGCGAACTCATCCATCGATCTCTCACCGAATTACAACACCAAAAGAGAGGAAGGAGAGAAAAGGAGAGTCCAGAATTGCTCGTTTAGTCGTACGGTGACATAGAACTCATTATTTTATTTCATAATGAAATTGATGGACACCCTTTGACGACCACAAACCCCAGACGTGTTCAAGCATCTAACTACACAATTCAATCTCCCAATTTCTCAAAGCTGGCGTGTCGATGTCCAAAATATTCTTACCGCTTTTCAGGGTAACTGAATTAATTGGATTGCAGTTTCAGTTTCTCCAATACCGAACTCTATAAGGAATTGAATATTTTGGTGTAATAACAAAAGGTGGTTTTTAAATGCACAGTGAGACGTGAAATGGCGTACATAATAAATAGTTTAAAAAATGTTTGTTACCAAATTTCAACGATTTCTTTATATAAACCTTATTTTAAAATGAATGAAAACTTTGTATATGTAAGCAAAAGGGGGTTTTCAACGAACAGCTTTTCCCAGCTATATTTTAAGAAAATAAATATGTTGGCCGCAAATATAAACAAAGCTCATGAGAGCAAATGATTGAAAACATATAGAATAATGATAAATTTTGAAAAAGTATATATATGAAGCGTCAATTAAACAAAAAAATTAAAAAGTTTTGAATTAAAAAATATATATACGATTAAAATAGAAGTTTATGACACTCAAGTTCTTCTTGAAATTTTATTTCACAAAAATAAGTGAAAGCTTTAGCCACACTCATTTTATATATCTAATTTCTATTATGCTCTGTTTACATTCTACAAATTACGATATTAATTTTTTTGACGCTGACGCAATGTTAAAAAACGAGCAGAAGATGTTACGAGATATTTATTGTTATTGTCCGAGATTGTTAAAATTAAATAAAAAGAAAAACTTTTGTGTATTTGCTCAGAATCGCAACAGGGGACTCTGTTACTCATTCTTAGCATTCATAGCAAATTGTTTCTCATTTTGCCGCGCTTTTCATGGCGAAATAAATCAGCTGAGTAGTAGCTGTTCATTCCTCTTCCACTAATTTCGTAGCGTGCTTCTTTCTACAAAGTTTTATTAAAATTAATTTAGAATTTCATCGTTTTCTTTAATTAAAACAATATATAATGATATTCAGTATGTAATAGTGCATATTGATTGAAAACTCATGCTAACGAAACGCTCATTGCATTAACAAACCATAAAATATTTGTTAGATTTTGATTAATCTTGGCGGTAAGAAAATGTTCGGAGTCTTTTGGTTTCAATGCTTTCTTCTCCGTTTCAAAAGCGCCACAAACTAAGAAATTGAAAAAAAATTATTTTAAAAACAGAGAGTAGGCGGTCGAGTGAGGATATAGTCGAGAATTATCATTGAGAGAATTTGCGGCTACAACTAAGGACATAAATAAATTTGTTAGTGTTAAAAGAATGTGTAATTATTCTTTCGTTTCCATATTCTGCATTAAAAAAATTTTAAAAATTCGCGGGGTATAATTAACTAATTAGCGTCGTGTAGAGAGTGTTATGTGGTTAAAGAGGTAAATTGCATTTAAATATTGGAATAATTCAAGACATTTCGATATTCAAGAAATCAATTCAAGATGCCTTATGGAACTGTAGTTAAATGTAAGTCGATCTATTTTTGCTTATTACTCCAAATTCGATTTTTCATAGTTAAATAATAATTAGACCATTATTGAATAACTGTGTAAGAAAATTATTTGACAATGCGAGAACTCTTTCTTTATTCTCATTTGTTTAAATGAAAACGTGGAAACTAAACTTTATCTGATCAGAAAAATATCGTTCACATTACAGAATTGGAGTTGGTATATAAATTTGAATATTAAGAAAGGTGTATGTATGAATTCATGTGCTTGAAAGATGAAATAATTCCTATCATACTTTGATTCTAAGGTGAGTAGAACTCCTCCTAACTGTTTCCGAATATCTTCGCTCCTACAGCAATTAAACAAAAAAAATTAAAAAGTTTCAATAAAAAATATATATATATACGATTAAAATAGAAGTTTGTAACCCTGAAGTTCTTCTTGAAATTTTATTTCACAATAGAAATGAAAACTTTAGCCACACTCATTTTATATATCTAATTTCAATTATGCTCTACATTCTACAAATTACGATATTAATTGTCTTGACGCTGACGCAATGTTAAAAAACGAGTGGAAGGTGTTACGAGATATTTATTGTTTTTGTCCGAGATTGTTCAAATTAAAGAAAAAGAGAAAAGCTTTTGCGTATTTGCTCAGAATCTCAACAGGGGACTCTGTTACTCATTCTTAGCATTCATAGCAAATTGTTTCTCATTTTGCCGCGCTCTTCATGGCGAAATAAATCAGCTAAGTAGTAGCTGTTCATTCCTCTTCCACTAATTTCGTAGCGTGCTTCTTTCTACAAGTTTTATTAAAATTAT